GCCGCGCCAGTCTGCCATGGCCCGAGAGAACGGCGAGAGCAGTTCCTCCTGGAAAAAGCAAGCCGAAGACATCAAGAAGATCTTCGAGTTCAAGGAGACCCTTGGAACGTAAGTGGGCGCCGGGGACAAGAGGGTGGGTGTCGCACCGCGGCTGCACCTTGGGTTTCTGCCACCACTACCACCGCGTCAGGAGCAAGCTCGTCGCCGCGCGTGTCCTCATTGTACCGTTCTCTGCTCCGAGGAGCCCCCCGCGCCACCCCCGCGTGCGTCTGCGCCCCCCTCACCGGTGGCCCCGCTTCTAGAGGGGGAGGGGAGCGCTGGGCTCTCGGAGAGCTGCCCACGCGGGCGGGCGACTTCCCACTTCCCCTGCCACCGCCGCCCTCGCCGCCGCTTTCTCCCCACGCGTGACTGCGCGGAGCATGGTGGAGATCGCCGTTTACTGTGTGCGTTTACTCACCGTGTGGTCAGAGACGTGGTCATTGGAGTATTCAGTCTTTCAGTCTTTAGCTATTCTGCTCTTTAATCCGATATTCACGTGAAATGGACAACTGCATGTTCTAGGTGTGGGCAAGACTTTGAGAAGCCTTGCGATTGTGGAAAGGAGGGAAGAATTTCGCAGAGCTCAGGGGCACATGTGGGCAGAAGCTCATTTGAGTGTGTGTGCATTTCTCTGGGGTTCCTGTCCCATTAGAGGGTTTCAGGGGCTTGTATGTAGACTGGCCATTCTCTCCGGGTCGTGTTGAGACTGTTTCATGGCTGCATCCCGAGAAAGCAGAAACTGTCAGAGGTGGACTCAGTGCACCAAGCATGTGCCGCTCAGTTCAGCTGGGCTCGCTTTCTGCTCCAGAGTTGGTTTTTGTTTTGTTTTGGAGAGCCTCAGAAAGGTAGAGGGGCTGATAGTGAAAGAGAACTCTCCGCACTGCTGAATGAATCAGAAGTTGTTATCCACCTTCCCTGTGATGGGAATCTGTTGTATCTGTCCTCGTGAAGTGAACATTCTGTAGGAGGTCAGGGAGCTGTTGATTAGACCAGGAAGAAAGAGATGTTCATGGATAGATAAATCAGCATATGTGTGGATGGGCGCTTGCTCTCCTTTCTTTTCCCTTACTGTGTCTGCGGTTGCCTTGGCTTTGCTGAACCATTTTCAAACCCATTTTGCCTGCGCTCAGGGTCCACCGCGGCTGTTAGTCACTGCCCTCTCCCCACCTCCGCAGCTGCAGTGAGTCTCTGGGAGGGAAGTTGTGCAGCTGGCATTCCCAGCTTAGCTTCTGATTCCTGGGAAAGACACCCTGTCTAGGACTAGACCAGGGTCTCCCTGCTGTGGTTGCTGGGATCTTGGGAGGGCACCTGTGGGTATTGATATGCTAATCATTCATCTTGAAATGAAACTAGGAAATACTGAGCCTTTTTTTTTTTTTAAAATAAAGGATGGTTAGTTAGCTTTGGTCAAAACTTTTGAAACCTGTCATTGGGGTCTGAGATGCTGAAGATACAAGGAAATAGGGAGTTTTATCCTGTGTGAATGTGTCCCTTTTCATGGATTTTACCCTCTGTGCCCTTTGCCTGCAGCCTCTTGGCAGGTTGATGCAGTATCCCCAGACTGACTTCTCTTTCCTGGAAGAGTACTTGCCACCCGGTTGCACCTCTGCAGTAGCCTGGCCTCTGGGGCTCCACTGAGTGGCTCCTGCTGTAGCATGCTGTTGGGGTCACTGCAGTGGCTTCTGCCTCTGAGATGGATGGGGAATTGCCTTTTGACTCTACAACTTCTTGGGTTCTGGTGAGCTTTGGATATGAGTCTGTTTTAGGGTCTCAGAGTTTGGCCTTCTGCCCTGGAAATTATTTTTTGCAGAGATACTTTCCACTGTTGTTCTGGCAGGGGTCCTAGAAGAGTGAAAGTCATACAATAAAGTGATCAAGTTTTTTTTTTTTTTACTCACTGGGCCTCAAGTTGTGCTTTTCCACTGTTTGAATGATATAGTTTTATGGTAATCATGGTAGCATCCTTCAGTGTCTACCAAGAACCAGGTGTGTATTCTAAGTGCCTTATGAATATTAACTCATTTAAATGTCATGATAATCTTATGATACAGATATTGACTGTGATTCCCAGTTGTTGGATGGGAAAAATAAGGCAACACATAGAAGTTCTGTGATCTGCTGACCATTATTAAGTGGTGGAGCTGACATGAAAAGCCAGGCAGAGTAACCTTTGAATATCCACACAAGGGCGAGCCATTTTGTAATACATGATTAATAATAGTTTGACTTGGGCTTGTGATGTAGAATTCAGTGGCAGAGCTCTTGCCTAACATGCATGAGGTCCTGGGTTCCATTCCCAGCATTGGGAAAAAGATGTCAAGGGCTTAATTTTAATATTTGGAAAGCTAATTTTAATATTAATGTAAATAGAGCATAATTATGGGATAATCTATTCTTTAAATATGTAAGAATTTTAGAGCTTTAGGATTATCATCATCATTATATCCCTTGGTCTTGCTAGAAGTGTTTTCAAGTTCAGAATGTCTGTTAAACCTGGGCCAAGTCTAGCAACTTTAGCCTGAGTCTGGTCTTGGAGCTCACTCCTGTCCTTTCAGAATGGGCCTCAAGTTGTGCTTTTCCACTGTTTGTAATGAAAAATCAAAGCAAAATTATAATTGGTGTTTTATTCCCAGAGAACTCTATGGTTCCACTCAAGTTCTTTATCACACCTTTACCTTATGTCGTTAAGATCCTAATGCAGGAAAGCCCAGCAAGAAGTGAGGACTTGAGCTTAGTGTTAAAATGCTTTTGAAATAAAGCATCATAAAACCCAGGGAGGACTTCCATTTCCAGGCTCTGGAATTGGATGGTTGGCTGACTTTTCCAAGTATTTATTAGGACACTTAGTGTTGTGGCATCCAACTAAGGGTTGGACCTCTTAGTCGGAGGGACCTTGCTGGAGCTCAGAGGCCTAGGGCAAGGGAAGGCTGGCTCTTGGAGGTGAAAAAGTTGGAGGAAGCAAAAGGCCCTAGAGGAAAAACAGGTGAGCTGTGGTTTGGGGCTGGGTTGTCAGGTGCCTCAGGGAAAGGCTTTCAACCTAGGGCTTCACTTTAGCCTCTTTTGAAAGGGATCTCGGCACCTAACCATATCTCTGAATTAGGTGGTGAGACTTAATTACTGTTTATTAATCAACAGCATGTTTTCAGATCCTTGGCACACAGTGAGAGCAAATAAATGTTGTGTAACAGCAAATTAGGGATGGTAAACATTCTGCTGGTGCATTTTGCTGGAATTTTCAGGCCTTCTCTGCTACAGGTGTCTTTCATTGACTTCTGAAGTTATCACGGAAACTTGACACAGACAACCTGGACCAGTATATGGATGGGAAAAAAGCTGTCTGTGATGGCCAGGAATTGCCCTCAGCTTGTGCAGGCATGTCTGCAGTTTCCAGCCTATGAGACATGGGTGAAGAGGGAAGGCCTTAATCCTTGGCACCACCAGAATGGTTTTGCCAGCTTGGAGGATGGGACGTGGCACATCCTAGGAAACTGATCTTCATCTCTGCAGAGTCTGAATACAAGTGGTTCACATAGACCAACCATTTGAAGTCTACTGTCTGTAGCTGGCTGGCCTGGGTCTGGCTCAGCCCTTAAGGGGTTGTGTAGCTTCTGTAAGGAAGGAGTGCTCTGTGTGCCTGAGGGAAGTTCTTTTAGGTTTGCAGGGATGTAGTTATGACCTTGTAGGAGCATAGTGAGTTGGCTGTGGACCCTATTCCATGTATATCAGTAGCAATGAGTCGTGTTTTCTTTAACTAAATGTTTGCTGAGTGTTGCTTTAGGTAGGCAGTAAATGGCCATTTCAGTGGGGCAAGCCCTGTCCTTTGCTGTCTGTCCCATATTTATACTACTTATTCTGAAATTGCTCACTGAATACATCTATTGTCTGAAAGTCAAGATTGGAGAGAGATTCAACTTTTTTCTTTTGCAAGTGTGTGTGTGTGTGTGTGTGTGTGTGCGTGTAAAGGGAGGGAGAGAGAATACAAAGCTACTTGGGGTGTTTTGAATATTTGGGTGGCTGATTTAATAGCATTTATTCTAGGATTATTCAGAATTTTAGCATCCCTGGGAAGCTTTTTTTTTCCCCCTGGGAAGCATTTGAAAGAACATTACTAACAGAAAAATAGGGATGAGAAGCCTTAGGTTCTTCCTAAGGCTATCTCAGCTGTAATCACTTTGAGTATCTGTCTTCTTGTCTGGAGACATGATATAAATTCAAGCTCTCAGATATGTAAAAAGATTTCTTGGGTATCAGCTCCTTGAACGAATTGGCAAGAATGCCTGCTCTCCTAGGGCCTACATTCTGTTGTGGAGTGTGGCCATGCTTGCACTCACAGAATTCTGGGAGACTGAGGCAGGGGGATCATAAGTTTGAGTCCATCCTGGGCAAGGAACTCAGCTCAGAACCAAAAAAAAAAAAGCAGCAGAATGCCTCTTAGTTCTATTCCCAGTCCTTGGGAAAAAAGTGGGAGCGAAACATTGGAACTGGAGGGGTATGAGCTCTTCAGTTGATCTGACATAGGCTTTTCATACTCCCCGGTGTTGCTGTGATGAGCACAGACAGTGGGAATGAGGAGCAGGGCAGCCAGTGCAATGATGTGGCGATGGATGATGATGCCCTAGGGTGGGAGGGCCACTGTGCAGCAGATAAGTGGATGGATCTGGAGCTGTGCTGGAGGTGGAGCAAGTAGGATTTGGTGGTGGGTCATACACGGGCTAAGATTCTCCAAGCATTTGGGATTGCAAAGATGGTATGTTGGCTGGTTTTGTTCAGCATATCCAGGGATTTTCTGGAGACCTGCTTTGCCTGCGTGTTGGGAGCTGTGTGCTGTTTCAATAACAGTTTATAGGGCAGACTCATAGCCCAGAGGCATCTCTGCCCTCCTGGTGAGAGACTCTTGCATTTCAGGTGAAGTTTAGGGCTGGAAGAGCTGGAACTCTGTGAGAAAATGCTGTTTTGTGCTTTTAGGATGTCATCGCTAGAAGAGCTCGACCGCTGTGGCAGGTGCACTTATAACCTGCAGCTCTACCACTTGATTTAGAATTGTGTCTCAAGCCATCTGTGGAAATAGA